CTATTTGCACCATAATTTTTGCTATTTGTACCATTAATTTGACTAAAATTATACTCTAACTCTAACTAATTCTGGTCATACTAATGGTGCAAATAGCAAAAATCATGGTGTAAATAGCTGTACCCTTTTAGTAAATACACTTTACAAGATTTAGAAGAAATAGTTGAAAAATAGCTCAAACTTCAACAAAAACTTTTTGTTAGAGCACAAAAGGTTGTTTCTTATGCTGATTTTTGAGGTATGAGCTATTTTTGGCAAAATGAACATTTTTTTTGAATCTTCCTGATCTTTTACATTACACTTAATCTTGAAATATGATTCGTAGTTTAGGAGAGCTGTGTTTCCAACCTTGCACACATTTTCTTCTTTTTTTAATTGTGTAAACTTTCTATTGTGTATTGTATCTGGTCTAATATGGGCTTTAAAATTTGTGAAATATACGAGACTGGGTCCTGAATTTAGTGTTAGGAATGGATAAAATGATCTAGGGTTAGAAACAACAGGTTGTGAATTGGGTTTAGGTAATAGAGATTGGGTTAGGGTTAGGAATGAGTAAAACGGGGTGACTATAATTTAGTGTATATATGTAGTTTGTATAATATTAATAATAATAAATAAATATATATTTATAGTATGCATGTATATCACATGATGCGGGTTTATGTACCTGCGGGTACATATATATAACTCCTAACAGAAATTATATGTAATTTTCCAACCCTATATTATATAAAAAACATATGTTATATGTAATAATTGTTCTACAATAGTTTTATAAATGTCGACATGTTCAATATAATTAAATATTCTTGTCAAATATTTTGGTGCGTTAGTTTGAGTAAAACTTATGGAAAGGAAAATCTTGAAAGAAATACCGTATTTTGTGGAGTTAAATACCCGGGGGTATAAGAAAATATTTAATTATACCCGGATACTATACTAGAGGGGGTACTGTAATAGAAGCGTGTACAAATCTAAACCGTACATAGTACCTGGATCTTTTACTAAAAAAGGAATTAGGGGTATTATGCGAAGGGGGTATTTTACTCCACAAAATACGGTATATATGAAATAGACTTTGACAATAAACGTATTACACATATTACACGAGTAGGTGCTAATATTAAAATGTTAAATATGGTCAAGAATTTGTCGAATGGTCTAAAGATGTGATTTTATTAATATTTATTGAAAATGTATTACAGAAGGTGATTTTATTAATATTTATTGAAAATGTATTACAGAAGTTTTTCAATACATCCATATCTTCGAAAGCGCTTAAGAACTGGCTTATAGAAGATATTCTAGCACTTAAATGTTTGGCAATTTTTCAAAATAATCAGCCAGTTTCTAAATTTTTTTCAATTATTTGTCAGCGAAGATGCTTTGAAAGCATCGTGTTTCTGTATTTAACCAGAGATATTCGTATTGGTATGTAGTCTTAAAATGTTTTATGATCTTAAATTGTGCGACGTATATTAATTTATTGAATCTATTATACTGAAATCACAAACTTAATCGAATCAACTGAATAATCATTCGGCTGATTTTTATCTGGTGCTTCAGGAATTATGAAATTTCGGTTATCAGAATTTTTTCTAATTTAAATATCACAGAGGTTTCGGATTATCGTGTGCTGACCTGTATCCAAAACACCTGCATTAATTTTTTTACTTTACCATACACATGACTTTGGTTATAACGACATCTATATATACATCTATATAAACTAACAGCTAGTATTTCATTAAAGATCAGAAGGCGCATTTCCATTGTCTCACAATAAAAATGTAGCTCCAAGGACCAATGGGGTAATAATTTGTTGTGGATCATTTCTGTTCCACAACAACTTTGTTACATTCTTTCATTGATGACTTTGTTTACCTTTTCTGAGCTCTTATTTATGTCCGCCTTACGCCACATTTTTTTTTTGTAAAAATAGTTAATTGAGAAATAAAGGAGTGTATATACAATATTAATTTTTAATGAATTGATTGCCCCATCGGTAATGTTTTGGCTGAACTTTTTTGAAAGCCAAGTACTTAGAAATTAACCAATATAATCAAATTTACGAAAAATTTTTCCGAAATAACTTAATCTCGATAAACTTTACTGCACAATACTAACTGATTTAGTTGATAGGAAAAATGATTTTCGGTAAATCATATTACAGCCAAATTTTTCTGACAATCTTTTCTTTTTAAGCAAAAATTTTAGTTTTTTTTTTTTTTTAAAAAAAAAATTTCAATAATAGTTTTATTGTATTGATAAGATGGAATAACATGTGATAAATATACAAAGTAAATTCACTAAACATCCTTTCCTAAAAAGTTATAAACATGTAGGATAATGGTTAATTCATTTTTATGAATTTAAAAGAAATTCAACTCATTAAGGATGCACAACTTATGCGCATAAATCTGTTTTGACTAATTTGCTTTAACTATATATGTGCCGTATAAAACAAACCGAGCCTAAGACACAGAGCCGAGAGTGCTATTGAAGCGGTGGTAACTAAAATACAGGCTGAAATGGAGGTATCATGTATGAAAATAGGTCTTTTCGGTTGATTTGGTTTCAAGTGAGTATCAAAATACACAAATAAGCCTAAAGCAGTAAACGTGAAGCCGTAACTGTAGCTAAATAAATAGTTCCTATAGTAAATGATTTTTTAGAAAAAACAAATGTATAGAATTAATAAGATTTTTTATCAATAAAAACAAAAAAAAAAAAAAACTAATTAATAATAAAGATCAACTTACGCAATTCCTTCGGTCGAAAAAAGGGTATTGAAAACATTTCCCGCTATGTGAAATAACGCAGCGACAGCTAATAAAGACACATGACAAACATGACCATCTTTTTTATGATGATGAATTTGATGATTTGGTCGATCATGTTCTTCCGATTCCCTTTCCCTTCCATCATCAGAGGCGTGTTGGGGTAAACTGTCATAACCTTCACGATAATTTTTTTTTGTTTCAATGTATAATCTTACAAATTGGATAACAAATGCCCAATCAATAGCAAGACCTGTAAATCCGTCATATATTATTCAATGCATTAATAGTCGAATTACATCATACGTTAAATACATAATACAGTCAGACCTCTTTAAATGCACACTCTATAAGTGCACACCCTCTCTAAATGCACGTTCATCTTCTGGCCCAAATATATACTTGACCTTTATAAATGCACCTTTTCTTATTATTCTCTAAATGCATGTTGTTAAAGTGTGGTCCCAAGGGCGTGCCTTAGAGAGGTCTGACTGTATTTGTTTTTTTTTTTACCTTGAAATTTAAACCAAAAAGCATTAAGAGGCCAATCCAATAAAATAGCTACTCCTTCGGCTACTAATAAGTAAAGGAAACTCCATGGAAGAATATTATAGTTTGAATCAAAATTTCCTCCTTGATGTAAAAGTAACATCATAATAACTTCAAAAAAATTATGTATTACACCAAGCGCTGTCCAGAATTTTCCAAGATCAAAAATAATAAAAGTAATCGCAATTGTACCAGTTATGAAATTATAACCAGCAATCAAATAATTAAATGAAGTTGTTGGAGTTTTTTCGCCATGGTATATGAAAAAGTTAATTGTCTCATATTTTGCCGACCATATGAGTATAAATATACTAAGAACTATTCCTATGACAGCCGTGAAAAAGAGCATCGTATACCATGTTTCTATATTAAAATCTAAGTAAAAACAAAATATTTAAAATCTAAGTAAAAACAAAATATTTAAAAACTATAATACCAATCTTGCATAGTTAAATATTGTTAAATAAATGAGTTTTACATACTATGAAATTCAGGATGGAATGTTTGAAAGCCCGTTAGAGTAGAATTAACTGGTGTTGGAATTTTTGAAAGATTCGCAATCGAAAGGCTGAAAAGCACACCACCCAATAAAACTATGAAAAAAAAGATGCCAAAATAACGAAAATCGACCATTTTTCAAATTTTGCTACGTTATTCCTTGGGAAATTTTCTTTATCATAGACATACGGAACGCATATTTATAGGGTTGCTAATATTATTTTGATGTCATTGATAAGATTGTAAAGAAATAGTTCAGGTTGCACTAATTCACATTTGTTTAAGGTAAATAACTATATTTTGTGTACTTCGATTGTCATTCTGTAAACTACATACAAATACGTAATGTAACCATCATGAATCGCCTAATGATAATATAAGTGCAGGAGAGTGAAACCTATAAACAATCTTAGTAAATCATTAAATAAGTTCCAGTTTTTCACTCTCATGCACTCATATAATCCCAAAATTGTCGTAAAGCAAACTATAAAAAGATAACTATAGTATTATAAATAATCTAGTTACCCTATTACGATTTATTTAAAAATTATCCAGTTACACGATTACGATTTGTTTAAAAACATTCCAGTTTCACGATTACGATTTTATTTCATAAATTTACTTATTAAGCAAGATTTATTCAAATATGCTTAATGTTAGTGTAATTCGACTTGCCAAGGAAACTCATTTATACATTTTAAAGTACCGTACGTGTTGGCAACATCTTGCTAATGAAAATATCGCTTATAATATTAACAAAATGTTAACACTCATTGTGCGAAAAAATATTGAATCTCCAGAAAACTTTGCTTAAAAAGATATTAAATTATACTGTAGAACGAAAAAGTTTTCGTTGAATAACTTTTTATTGATCACTACAGCATTTAATTTGAACAAAAATAAAGCTAATAATGAAAAAATTTTCGGGTTTACAGTTGTTTTCATAAGCTCTGGGACATTTAAAATTTTTGATGACCGAATCGATGAATTACCGAGTAGGAATCAATAAGTTACTGACGTCGGCCGAAATCAAAGCTTATCAATTCGGTCATAGATAATTTTTCAAGTCCTTGATACGTACGTACTTGGTTCTTGCCATGTGACCGGATCTGTCAATCGTAATAATTTGCCTCTATATGGATATCAATAAGTCCGAGTTCACTAGTAATACCATTTCTACCCAACTTTACGTTACAAAATTAATTATTTTGTATATTTATAATGTACGTACTTTTTTATTTCCTAATGATATTAAAATTATGTAATTTTTGATTGGTTAGTTATCAAGGGATCAGGGGTAATGAGTGTTGTGCATTTTGATGCATTTTGATTGTCTCCGCCCAACTTTATTCCATCAATTTCTCAATTTCTAGCCTAAAAGGCTATATTATTTAAGAGCTGGAAGAAGATATCATAATAAATATTGAGTTACAGATATTTTTTAAAATCACATTTGTCCTAATTTGTCCCAACCGTCCCGTGTGCAACAATGCGGATAAAAATCATACAAATATTCTACGAAATCCATATGCTTAGTCTATATTCATCGATTTATTTAGCCCTATTAAGGTTATCTGTTAAAGAATATTCCTTCGCGCGAAAAAAACTTTATACAAAGAAAAAAAAAAAAAGTCAAGTCTCATTTACAGTATGCCTTATATAAAAAAGTAATTATAATACATTAATTTTAGATATTGTCCATTTTAATTTAGATAATTTTGGATATTTTCTTACCTCAGGATTGTCTGTGTGCTCATCTATTATTCTCATTATTTAGCCACCTTTTATACATTAAATCTGCATCAACTTGAATATATGCAATAGATCGTTAACAATACATGTTACACTTTGACTGCAAATAATTCTCGAATCTGATTTTGCCGTCGGACACTGCATGTGAAGCTTAATGAACAATAGTATGTTGAACTAAAACACAAGGATGTATGGGTAAGATAATGTTACTAATGTGATTTTGAGTTATGTAATAGTTTATTATGGTTATGTATCACTGTTACTTTCAAATAGATTTGTCGTATGATAAATAAGGGGCATTCATAATACCATTAAAAACTTTGTCTAAAACTTTCACATACTACCATATATATCTCTCATTAAGAGTGCTCGAAAAGATTTTTTATTAAAAAACCTGTTAATATACCTATAAAAAAGATTTGGAAATAATTGTTCATATCATACATTCTATAAATCGAGAATCTGTGCTTCAAATGAATACTGCAGACTGTAGGATTTGTTTAAATTTTAAGATGGTATATAAAACTGGTTAGTCGTTACTGAAATATATCATTAAACGATGTCAAATATTAAAATTAAATTCGGAAGTCAGTGGAAATAAGCAATGACCTTTACAAAAATCTGATAATTTTGAGATATGCAATTATTTGCAAATAATAAGCAATATATAGTGCATTATTAGTACTAAGTTAGCAATTTTAATAATTTA